CCATGTCCCACCCGGTGCCTATGGCAGTTATGCCCATGGTACCTCCTGTCCTGTGTAACCATAATTTATAGCTACCCATAACTACAGAATTCAGCATAATTATAAATTGCCACAAAATTCATTGTAAAAACCCACAGAATTTAYTGTCTAACCACAGAATTCAGAGTAAATAACTTTGTAATGTGAAATTAACAGCAGTGTTAAGGTTTAGCAAATAATGTTTGCTTGAACCACTTCAAACTTTTCAAGACTGGAGTTGCCTTAAGATGGCAGTGATTCAGTCAGATGATATGTTAGCTTTTCATTATGGTCAGAATTTAACTACATTTTAAAGAGCTGTCTGAATAGGTATTTTTTCGTTCATCACCTTTCAGAAGAACTTCAAAACGTCTGATCTTTCGCTTTAGGATGGAAACAACTCTTGCCTTCAGCTGGGATAGGGTTGTGCTGGAAGTTTTGTTAACTACAAATCCACAGCGTCACTTTATTAAGCTCCCTACAGCCCTGTGGTGTGGATTGAACCTACAGAGCCGTGAATAACACGGTCGGGGAAAAGGCTTATGCAGAATAACATGCTGCAGCTGGAAGAACGTCACAGAGGAGAAGCTTTTGTATGGCTAAAGGAGCGCTCCATTCATGTGTGTTTCTTTTTGTAGCTGCTGCAAAATGCTCCCAAAAGTAACCGTAACTAGAGAAATGGCATTTTCTACAAAAATGCAGTATGAATGCTTAGAGTTGAATGACTTTGCAGAAATTTGCTAAAATATGAAAGGGAGTTGAATTATAGCTGAACTTTCAGGGCTGTTTGAAAAATAGAAAAAGCACAAAGACAAAAAGGACAAGTAGTAAATAAAAAGGAGACATAAAAGACAAACAAAAAAGACACATAAGGAGACAAAACCAACAAAAAATACAACTAGGGTGATATAAAGAAAAAAAGACAAAAGGAAACATCAAATGAAAAAAAGAACATACAAAAAGCACACTTTAGACAAAAATGAGGAGCTGAAGTATATTTCAAAGAGGGCACATTTTTTTAAAGATCTTAAGAGATCTCAGTACATTTTGTGTGGAAAAATACATAAAGTTAAACATTTCATCAGTTTTAAACATTACAAAAACAAAAGCTTAAATGTCTTAAACAAAACCTAAATAATCAAAAACACATGCTGAACTAGTTACAGTTCAATAAACTTACAAAATAAACTATAAACAGTACTACAGTGTGAATGCTGACTCAGCATTTTCACAAATGTATATCAGGAAAAATGTCAGTTTTTTTTTTAACGCCGAGGTTATGCACTGCTTCCCCCACTCCCACTGTGGACAAAGTGTTTGTGTGTACATGTAGGAACATTACATTAAATCTCCCGATCGTGCCCGTCGCCGCAGCCATGACCTCGTCTTCATGCTGCTCGTGTTCTGCAGTTTGACATGACTGTCTTTCCGGAGCAGCCTGATATTCATCTTCGATCTCATCTTCAAACAGGACTCAGAGAGCCGGAGACGATTGTAAAAATTACACGCTGCAAGCTGCAGATGATGAAAATAATTTCATGATTTCAAGTGGGAATGGTGCAGTTGGATTATTTATTAAATCTAACAGCCTTCATTAACCCCAACTAAAATCATCTCGTGAAAAAAAAACAAACAAAGATGTAGCTGATTTGGTCTAACTTTATAAATGCCATCATACGTCATGTGTTAGAACCATCTTGAATGGGGTTGCCTCCAAAAACGAGACAGTTGTAGAGCTGATTGATTAGTTTCTGACAGGGACAACATTATCGCCTTCCTCGGTGGTTGATAAAGAYAAAGGATTGCATTTCTCTGGCGTACAGGAGCTCCACGTGAGGGGAGATGGAGAAGTGAACGAGCGTTTCACAATCTCTCCTCCACAAAGAATTATTAGACGGTGTAGGGGACGGGAGGCGAGCGCCGGCCAAGGATTGGCTGAGCTCACCCAGCAGTGGAACATCAAAGCCCCGGGCTTTAACCGTTTCTATCCCCCAGAGTGACAGAGACACTGGGCTTTGATGTGCAGAGAGGGGGAGGGAAACGGAGCAGAAGGCGACCGGGGAGGAAAATGAGGAGTGGTGTGTGTGTGTGTGTGTGTGTGTGTGTGTGTGGGGTGGGGGGGTGTTGACTGTGTTACCTAATGAAGGCAGTGCGTTGGTTGAGCTGAAGATGGATATGGAGGAAGCAGAACCAGGGCCGAGCATTTTCTGTTCTTTCTCTCTCTGTGGTGCTGCCAGCTCGTTCTGGAGAGCTAAGTGGAAATGTAGAAGCAAAAATGGTACAATGTGGGGACACATTTATCTGCTGCTGAAAGGGGGATAATGTTTTCGCCTGCTGTCTMTTCGCTAAATGTCTCAGGAACAACTGGATGGATTAATCACTGGATGTAAATCTACAGCTGATTACCAAAACCGAACCGTCAACATGCGGTCATGTGCTTTCTCGATGTTCGTTTTCCTGAACACACATCGCTGCATGAGTTTCTTCAGCTGGAATCTCCAGTCRGAAAAAGATAAAAACCCATCCGTTTTTGACCATTTAACTATCTTTTATAGTGTCTGTTTGCAGGTACAACAATCGGCTTCTGGAAGTAGTTGAAGCAAAATGGCACCATTGCTGTTCAAYCACTTCAGCATAAACAAACACAAACTTCTGACCAAWCGCATWATAATTGTGGGTGTTTCTTCCTGTTAAAAGGGAGATTTTCCTTTCCACTGTCGCCAATGTTCTACTCAAGATGGAAGACWGTGACAAAGTGATTCAGCTCYATCTGCTGGCTTCCTTAGACTGAACCACTWTAATTAATTTTGTATAAGGAGGAACGTGAAAAAGTTGGCCTGGGTCTTGTGACAAGAGGAGGTGGACAACATGAGAACAAAATGACATGGTTTRCATCACGCTTCTCTGTCACTGAGAGCAGATGGGCCATGGGGAGGCTCAACCTGATTAAAGATGGCCGCCACTTCAAAGCAACTGTAGCAAACATAGAATTAGCCTCAACACTAAATTTAACAGATTCTGAGTTTAAAATCTAAGCGAGTCATCCTCAGCACAATTCATTTTAAT